ATATATACAAGTAAGTAGGCATAGTTAAAGCAAGTAAGCATGTGAGCACGTAATTCACATAACACGTAAGCATGCATATCTAGATGCAAAGGCCTAAGAAAGTGATAAACACATAGGCACACACAAGCACATAGCGCATAAGCCCTATCTATTACAAAGGGGGATACCTACTACAATCTAAGGGGGAAACGGAACAAAATAAACAAAATAAATACCTAACTATTACAACTTTGGCATTCAAGTGCCTTCAAATGACTTGCTAATTAAAAAAACGAAATAAAAGAATGCGAAATAGGCAATTAGTCATAAAATGAAAAGCGAATTAAAGCATGCATATTCACACATAACACGTAGGAGCACGTAGGAGAAACAAAATTAAGAAAATAGAGGTTACCTCCCTTGCAATGGAAATCGAGTAAATGAGATATTATCTTCAAAACAACAAAGGGGTCAAGGCACCAATTAACTAATAAAATATAAACAAAATCTCCAAAATTCCTCCCAATTTGCAACTCCAATGAAGTCACAGAATGCATAATTATCAAGAAAGTGGAATGACCCATCAAATTCACCCTACAACTCCTTAAGAATCTACCCAAAAACGAATCAAGACATATTAAAGAGAAAAGGGCATATTAAGATGACAAAATTGATTAACTTTTACAGCTTTGTGGGCCATAGCAGCATTACAAAACAAGTATTAGGGGGTCAAACATGCAATTTTGAAAACATTTCCCATGCAAGCATGCAAAACTACGAAACATATGCTTCTGCAATTTTCCAGCCAACATTTCTCTTCTGCAATTTACTTAAAAAAAACCGAAACATGCTTGTGAAACAAAGCCAATAAGTCTATGGATTCATCCATTAAACCTCCCAATGCCATGACCTTTAACGCATGCAGTTAACCTCAAACACAATCATCTATACCCCAAAAGATCTACTCACAACAACCGAAAATAAAATGCAGCAACCACGAAGAAAACATTCTGCAACTGAAATCATTTAGCGACCCACGTAGCTCAGGAAAATTTGGGGCAGAGCTTTAACATGTAAACGAAAGGAAACTATGACACTAGCAAGCTTAAACTCATTCATGGATTCGTTTTTGCAATGTTTCGGCTCCTATATGCGCAGGAAGACAACCATGAACATGGACTCAAAAGAAACATGTAAGCTTGTCTACTAAATCCACAAGACTCAAACCATTAACATGTCAAACTCTAATGCAACGTTTGCTGAAGATTCAACAACGGGAAACCAGCAAGACATACGACAACAAAGATGAGGGAATGGGAAAAACATTTCTACAATAACAAAGTAAACCAGCCCATTCTTGCTGCAATTTCCTGCTGCAAATTCGCAGCTCATTAGCGACTTAGAAAGATGGCCAAGGCTGAACAAAGCCCAAGGTGATCATGCAAACAAAGTGAGGAAACCCAGCTTTAGGGCCATTACGGGGCAGAGGGAAAACAGCAAAACATGCAGAACGAAATGCAGCTTTTTCATGCGAGGTTATAAAGGAGCTTTCTGCAATGAAGCCCGCATGTTTTCCGTAACCATTCTAATTCCGTTTTACCCTTTCCAGCCTATCTAAATTTATGCATCCCAACTTAAACAAAATCTAGTTTATTCGTTCAATTATCAACCATAGGAGCTTGGAACTAAGGAGAGGTAAAAAGGAAAGACAACTCAGCTAATATAAAAAAATTCTGAACTACTCCAACCCAGATTGTGCACAAGCAAAACAAATCATGCAAGTCAGACCCCAGACTTCCGCCCCCAACAAATCAGACCAAACCTACGGGTTTCTCAGCCCCAACAGGAATAAAACTTAACTTCCTTCGAATATCACAATCCTGATATGAAATCAGAGTGTCGAATGAAGTGCAAAAGGAAAGACAGAATTGACTCCAGATCTTAGAAACAAAATGGTAATAAAAAAAACAAGTGCCATCAGCCCTGGCTATGCCCAACACAGAAAACAGCGAAAAGGAAACAACTTTGGTTGATGAAATGGAAATGGATGCAAGAAAAACAACAAACTGTCTCCCAACACATCCAAGCATCAAACTTTACTCCAGTAATTCAACATCCAAACGCAAGTAAAAGCCCAGGATCTCTGGTTACACAGACCAGATTCCATATGAAAGGAAAATAGACAAGAACAAGGGTTGGAGACTACCTGTTTCGCCTTTGGACTTGAAGCTTCAGTCTGGGCTCGATGAAGAGATCTGCCGCCGACTCCGATGAAGAAACCTTAGACTGGGTTTTCAATTTTGAAACTCCTCTTTCTCGGATCTATTGGCTCCTCCCACGGCTCTTCTTTTCACTCTCTCTCTCCCCATTTTCCCTCAGATTTTCGCTTCCTTTCTTACGGCCCTCCCAAAGTTCTCTCTTGTTCTCTTGTTTCTCCTTACTCCACCAGCCGTCCTCTCTCCAAAAGCTGTGTTTTTGTTTTATTTATACCAAAACACATACTCTCAAACCCTCACCTGAAAGGTGAGGATGAGAGTGGAGGTTTTTTCTGGGCATCCTAGGGCCCTCCGATGGGTATGTGCATCTGCCGCATGCATGGACTTTTCCTCTTTTTTTTTTACTTAATTTAAAAAATAAACAATAATAATATTTTAAATAAAAATCAGATAATAAGAAGAAAACTCGGAATAAAAAATAAAATGACTAACAACAATTTATGTTTGATTAATGATTTTCTTTTCTTTTTCTCTTTTTCCGATTAATAAATAGTGAAAAGAAAATAAAACATATTTTTCAGAATAATTTTCTCTTTTTGACAAATTCTATGCTAAAAACAATCTTACAATAAAAATAAATAGTTAAAAGGGTGAAAACGAATACAAAATAAAACCAAAATAAAAATAAAAATAATAGACCATAATAATCCAAAAAATACCAAAAGTCCAAAACTAAAATTATGAAATTAGATAAGAATTATTACTAAAATAACAAAGAAATAAAATTAGGACAAAAATAAATAAAATACAGAATATCTAAAAATTTGGTGTCTACGGTTTGCCCCTCTTTGTCTGAGTTTTGGAAAAACTTGAGACAAAGAAGTAGACACCAAATACTCACCTGTGTTATTTGGCTGCGAAAACGTCTCGAACGATGGACGCTTTAGAAATGAGGGCTGACCCCTTTGACAAATTTTTGAAATGGGACTGACCCAGACAAGAAATTTAAAATCGGAACTGACCCGAAACAGGAAATTTAAACGGGCCTAACCCGGACAGGGAATTTAAAATCGGGACTGACCTGAAACAGGGAATTTAAACGGGACTGACCCGGACAGGAAATTTAAAATCGGGACTGACCCCAACATGAAATTTAAAATCGGGACTGACTCGAGGGGACTGACCCCAACATTGAATTTAAATCAGAGAAGTTCCGGTATGCTTACCTGAAAATAGCCTCAATTCAAAATTTTCATTTTCGAGGTTACGTTTCTGCTTCTGAGCTAAAGGTTGATTCTACACCATCGTTTTGTTGTGCCTTTGATCAAACCTGCATGCAACTTGTCCGATCGGCCTTTGTCTGTTGGAAACTTTCGATACTGACTTGAGTTCGAGATGTTATTGTTTTCCTCTATGCGTGAGATTTTCCTGCAGAAGAAAGAGAATAAGGAAATTGCCACCATCATTTGACCCGGTTCCCTTTGAGATTCGTGTAAACATGAGTCCTTTGATGCCTTTGTCCAATTTGGCTGTAGTATCTGATTAGTTGGATTTATTACTTCAAAAGCTCTCTGATTCTTCTCAAACCGACCGGGAATGCCTTCAGCCATATTATGAGATCTGTGTAACTAGCTCCGTTGAATCACGACCATTTCCAAAGATGACTGAATCCGAACGTATGCTTTGCACAAACTGTGGGGAATTGTCATTTATTAAAGCTCAATGATTAGAAAAAAAAAATTATGTATGATAAATTTACATGTCATGCAAGGATGAATATGCAAAAGAATATAAACATGACTATTTGTGCTTAAAGCCAATAAAATGCCATGAATGCAATCGATTTGGAAAAATGAGCTTCCTAAGGATGTATTTGCAAAGAAATCTTTTTACAAAATGATATAGCTTTCGGCCAACAGATGTCATATTCGAATCTCTGGATATCTTTGTTCTGGAATTCAACGTTGGCAGAAGTATTACAAAAATGAGGAAAAATCCAAATGAACTAAGTCACCGGCTGTTCCTCCTCATGCTCGCTCATTGCAGAACCCTACCCTGGCGCCCTTTCGGGTTTTCACCAGGGTTGCCCCCACCCTTGTTTTTCTTCTTTTCTTTTCTTTTACTTTTTCTTTTCTTTTCTTTTTCTTTTTTTCTTCTTTTCTTCTTCTTCTTTTTTTTTTTAGGTGCCCTTTCGGGTTTTCACCTAAGGAACAATGGAAAAGCTCGACCACGATCGACTCAGGAATATGAGTTGAAGATCGCTGGCATCAGTAAAATGTACTTCCCTTATAAGTTTAGGTGAAGGCATTACGGACATCACTTGCCAGTTGATTAGCGAATTTCCTAATAGAAATACAGCCAGCGACGAAAGCCAGGACTTTTGGGCTTTTGTAATGAGGTCAGGTGGGGTGTTTTCAAGAAAGTTGAGGCTTGAAAGCAACAATTTTTCCTTTTTCTCTTTTTTTTTAAGTGTGGAATAACCTGAGATTGCATCATTTTGAAATCTTCTTCAATTTTGAGCAAGACTGAGGAAAATTTGCCCTAGTTTGATTAGGATTTCTCTCTTTGCATTTTCATTGCATTTTCCTCACTTTTGTATTTTCTTTTTAAACTAAATTTGTCCCAGTGTGAGGGTTCTTTCTTCTTTCTTCTTTTTCATTTCTCTTTCAAAATAAATTTGCTCCAGTGTGGGGTTTGCAATTCTCAGGGGCTGCCAAACGAAAATTATTGTTCTGATAGCTCAAAGGGGATGACTAGGGATGAAACATTTTGATTGGAAAGGAAGATGGCCTGACTTTTGTTTCGTCACTTGCGTGACTTCTAAAAGGAATTTACAGAATCAAATAAAGAATTTCTTACACATGTCTGAGTTGATAGGTTGAGGGAATGTCTGCACATCCATCTCTGCCAAAATGAGTGCTCCGCCTGGTAACACCTTTTGAACAATGAATGGCCCTTGCCAATTTGGAGCAAATTTGCCTTTGGCCTCATCTTGCACTGGCAAAATCCGCTTCAGCACTTTGTCGCCTTCCTCAAATGTACGCAAATGGACCTTCTTGTTGTAGGCCCTGGCCATACATTTTTGGTAACATTGGCCATGACAAATAGTATTAAACCGTTTTTCATCAATCAGAGATAGTTGTTCATGACGCTGTTTTATCCAATCAATCTCTTCCAACTTGGTCTCCATTAGAACCCGTAATGAAGGAATTTCAACCTCGGCAGGTAGCACAGCTTCCATTCCATACATAAGCGAGTAGGGTGTTGCCCCAGTTGATGTTCGGATAGAAGTCCGATACGCCATCAGTGCATAAGGGAGCTTTTCATGCCAGTCACGATGCTTTTCAGTCATTTTGCGAATGATCTTCTTCAACTTCTTGTTTGCAGCCTCCACAGCTCCATTCATCTGCGGTCTATAGATGGCAGAGTTGCGATGTCTGATTTTGAACTGTTCGCATAGCCAATCCACCACATCATTGTTGAGATTCTTGGCATTGTCTGTAATCAATGTTTCTGGCACCCCAAATCGGCATATAATATGATCTCTTAAGAAATTTGCCACCACCTTCTTTGTCACATGCTTAAATGATTCCGCTTCGACCCACTTGGTAAAATACTCAATTGCCACCAATATAAATCGATGTCCATTTGAAGCCGGAGGGTCAATTGTGCCAATCACGTCCATACCCACATTGAGCAGGGCCATGGGGCAATCATGCTATGCAATTCGGTGGGAGGAGCGCGTATAACATCACCATGCACTTGACATTTAATTAATCTACGGACAAAATCTATGCAATCGCGCTCCATGGTAAGCCAAAAGTACCCAGTTCTCATGATTTTCTTGGCTAACAAATGTCCATTCATGTGAGGTCCACAAACACCGCTATGTACCTCTTTCATCATGTATTGAGCTTCATCTTCATCAATGCACCTTAAAAGGTTCAAATCTGAGATCCTTTTGTACAACACCTCTCCATTTAAGAAAAACTTCGAGGCCATTCTGCGCAGGAAACCTTTGTCATTTGTACTAGCTTCTGGAGGGTAAGATCCGATTTTGATGAACTCCTTAATATCATTGTACCAAGGACTATTGCCAGATGTTTTGACTACAACCCAACAATGAGCAGGCTTGGCTTGGAGTTGGATCCGGATAGACTCGATTCCTAGTTCGTCTGGATATTGTATCATAGAAGATAAGGTGGCCAAAGCATCAGCAAATATATTTCGGGCTCGTGGGAGATTTCTGAATTCCAAACTTTGAAATTGTCTAGCAAGAGTGAGCAAACTACAATGGTAGGGCAAGATCTTAGAATCTTTGGTTATCCATTGTTTCAACGTTTGGTGCACCAGTAAATCTGAATCACTGAAGGCTATCAACTCTTTAACTTCCATTTCCAAAGCCATTTTAAGACCAAATATACAGGCTTCATAGTCAGCCATATTGTTTGTGCAGGTAAATTGCAATTTAGCAGCCCCAGGGTAATGCTTCCCCTCTGGAGATACAAGAACTGCTCCGATTCCAGCTCCGAAAGAATTAGCGGCACCATCGAAAAACAACCTCCATTCAGGGCACGATTCACTCATATCTTCTGCGGTACCAACAAGTAAAACCTCCTCATCGGGAAAATAAGTATGGAGCGGTTGATAGTCATCATCGTTTGGATTTTCCGCCATATGATCAGCTATAGCTTGTCCCTTGACGGCCTTTTGCGAAGTAAAAACAATATCAAACTCCGAAAGAATCATCTGCCATTTGGCCAGACGCCCAGTTAGCATCGGCTTCTCCAAGAGGTATTTTAAAGAATCAAAGCGGGATATGAGATAAGTGGTGTGACTTAACAGGTAGTGTCTCAACTTTTGAGTTACCCAAGCCAATGTACAGCAGCTTTTCTCAATAAATGAATAATGAGCCTCATACTGAGTGAATTTCTTGCTAAGATAGTAGATGGCTTGCTCTTTCCTTCCGGAATCATCGTGTTGTCCTAGAACACAACCTATTGCTCCGTCGAGCATGGATAAGTACATGATCAAAGGTCGGCCTGATTTGGGTGGCACTAGGACTGGAGGATGCAGTAAATAATCCTTAATTTTGTCAAAAGCTTGTTGGCACTCTTCATTCCAATGCAACGACACATTCTTTTTTAACAACTTGAATAGTGGCTCACACGTAGCTGTTAATTGGGCAATGAATCTTCCAATGAAATTAATCTTCCCCAAAAAACTTTTCACATCTTTCTGCGTTTTTGGCACCGGCATGTCTCGAATTGCCTTGATCTTTGCCGGGTCTATCTCTATGCCCTTTTTGCTGACAATGAATCCTAACAATTTACCAGTTGGTGCTCCGAAGGCGCATTTTGCAGGATTTAGTTTCAAATTGTACTTTCGCAACCTTTCAAACAACTTTCTTAGATCAATCAAATGGTTTTCTGCTTTCTTCGACTTGATTATAATGTCATCCACATAAACCTCCATCTCCTTGTGGATCATATCGTGAAACAAAGTAGTCATAGTCCTTTGATAAGTAGCTCCAGCATTCTTTAAACCAAACGGCATTACTCGATAGCAGAATGTGCCCCAAGGGGTGATAAAAGCAGTTTTTTCTCTATCCTCTTCGGGCATTAAGATCTGATGGTATCCAGCAAAACAATCACAAAAAGATTCAATTTCATGCCCGGCAGTGTTGTCTAAAATGATGTGGATGTTTGGTAAAGGAAAGTCATCCTTAGGACTGCCTTTATTAAGGTCTCTATAATCAACACAAACTCGCACTTCTCCACTCTTCTTTGGAACAGGGACTGGATTCGAGAGCCAAACAGGGTAATGAGATACAATGATGATATTGGTCTTAAGCTGCTTTTCAATTTGTTCCTTTATCTTGAGGCTCATGTCTGGTTTGAATTTACGGGGCTTTTGCTTCACGGGTGAAAATTTTGGGTCTGTAGGCAATCTGTGCACCACTACATCGGTCGAAATGCCAGTCATATCGTCATAAGACCATGCAAATACATCTTGAAATAGGGACAAGAACTCAATCATCTCCTTTTTCTGCCTTTCATTCAAATGTGTACTAATCTTTATTTCCTTGGCCTCAGTCTTAGTGCCAATGTTAACAATCTCTGTTTCTTCTAAGTTCAGTTTGGATCTCTCCTCATATTGTTCAAGATCTTTTGAAAAAGAATCAAACACTTCCTCATTATCACTCTCGTTTTGAATTTCGGATTCCATAACTTCCAAGTCGTGAGTGATATAGAGATTGCCATCATTGAATTCCAGAATAGTGATATCCATAGGGTCAAATAATTTTATTTTTGGCCATCTGAAAGAATTAAGAAATTCAAGGTAATAAGCAATTAAAACACGCAAATGAATGGCATGATAAAACAAACTATACACTTTCATAAAGCTTCAAATCAAAGCGGAAACAAGCTAAAACATAAGTGCAAAAGATGCTTTCATTGAACTATTTACATATGCAAGAAAAGTTTTCATGAACTTTAGTAAATGACAACCCTCTGTAGATTTATCGAAACTCCTTTCGCATGGGGAAGTACTCGGCGATCCAGTTGTGTATAGCTCCTTGGGGAATGTCTGGGAATTCGACTTCATCTGACGGACCGTCTTCGTTTATTGCTCCCACAAACAAATGAGTCAGGCTCGTCTCTACTTCGTCAATTGGGCTAAACTCAGATGTAATGACTTCAGCCAGCTTTGGAAAGGTATAGCGTAGTGGTGGAATGTCTAAAGCACCTAACTTGCCATCTTTTTCTGCCTTCTTGCGTGCTTTCATCTCTTGTATATCTCTGGCAGTCGGACGGAATCCCAAACCAAATAGGTCCTTCTTTTCAATGAGTTCCACGGGCTTCAGAATACCTTGTAGATCGCGTCCCAATCCCTTACCGAATTCATATCCTCCGCGAATCATTTCTTTGGCCATCATAACATCGGCCGCTGGCATAACTCTTTCGTCTCTTGACTCCTCGCTTGTTATCCAACTCACAGAGACAATATCAGCTGTACGATAAGAAGACACTGAAACATTTCGGTTACCATCCTCCTCAGGCTCGGAATCAGCGATTACAATGCAATCTTCTTCAGCAAAAATGGTTATTAGTTGGTCGTTCACCACAAATTTCAGCACTTGATACAGGGAAGAGGGGACAGCGCCCGAGCTATGGATCCACGGACGTCCAAGCAAAACATTATAGACACTAGGAAAATGCATAACTTGGCAGGCTATCTGAAATTGAGTGGGCCCCATTTCGACCACCAAATTTGCTTCTCCTAGGGACTCCCTTTGGGCTCCGTCAAATCCTCGAACTACGGTCTCTGAGGGCTTTAGTTTGACATCTTGCAGCCCTAATTTCACCAACGTACTCCAAGGACAAATATTAAGGGCAGACCCATTGTCGATCAGTACCTTAGGCAACATTTTTCCATTGCACCTCACAGCTACATACAAGGCCTTGTTATGACCAGTTCCTTCCGCAGGCAGCTCTTCATCAGAAAAGGTGATTTGTTTGGAAGTCAGTACATTCCCAACTATGTGCGAGAAATTGTCAACCGAAATATCCTTGGGAATACGAGCCTTAGTCAACACTTCAAGTAATGCATCCCTATGCAAGTCTGAGGTGAAAAGCAAGTCTAGGATAGAAATTTGGGCAGACATTTTGTTCAATTGCTCAACCACATTGTATTCGCTTCTCTTAAGCCTCTTGAGAAAATCCCATGCTTCTCTTTCGGTCACTGCAGGTTTGGTAGTCGGTTCACAATTGCTTCCTTGGACTGGGGCACTAACAGACGCTTCTTCCATCAAAACTGGTTTGCCTCCAATATGCAAAATGGGCTTACTATAATTCCATGGTACTTGCTGTAAGCTAAAAACTGGCATTTGTTCTGGGAACTCAATTATCACAGGTTCTAAAACCGCACTTTCAGATGGGGTTAGGTCTAAAATGAAGGGTTTTTTGTCTTCCTCATACGACGCTTCTTCTATTACAAAAGGTTGATCCATTATTCCAAACACTTCGATTTCACTTGACATGCTTCGGACAAGCTTTTTGAATTCCTCATCATCCATAATAACTCCGACGGTATCAGTGTGTTCTGGCAAAGGATTCTTGCTCACGTTCGGTCCTTGTTCTTCTCTTTTCCTAATCACAATTTTCCCTGCTTCAAGCATGTCTTGAACTTTATGCTTAAGGAGTCGACAATTGGCAGTAGAGTGACCAGGTGCTCCTGAATGATAAGCACAAGTAGCCTGGGGATTATACCCGGCAGGCATGCCATAAGGATATGTGGGAGGGGGAATCACGCCTATCTTACCGGCAGCCTTCAATTGTTCATACAACTGGTCCAAAGGCCTGCCTAGATTGGTGAACGTTCGGGTACGATTTTGATTGTAGGTATCAGCGGGTTGAGGATAGTTATAGGTAGGTCTGTTTGGTGGGGGAAATCTTGGGTTGTAGGGAGGTCTGGGTCGAATTTGTTGAAAGTTAGGTTGAAATATTTGAAAAGGGACCGTAGGTGGGTTGGCGTAATTTGGGCGAGGTCGGGGGTGGGAGATATTGGTGTTATAGACAGGGTGAGGATTTGAATAGTAAGGATAAGGCGGTGAATATGCTGGTTTATGTTGAAATCTGGGTCTTGGTGTAGGGTTTTGGTCCCAGATAAAGGCAGCTTCCCCCTCTTTCTTCTTAAATTGCGGCTTTTTCCCACTACTCCCTTGTCCTTGTGAAGCATCCAACTGCGATTTGAGGGCAGAGACATTAACAATTTTTTCAGCTCTTACAAAGTCATCGTACTCTTCAAGCTTATTGACGATAGCAGCAAACGAACATCCGGTCATGCGAAAAATTTCTTCGAAGTACGGCGGATCATGAGCTTTAATGAAAGTGCGAATGATTTCATCCTCAGTCATTGGTGGCTCGACCTTTGTAGCTATTTTTCTCCATCTCTTGGCATAAGTCTTATGGTCTTCAGAGGGTTTTCTCTTTGTTCCTTCCAACGTGGTTCTTGTCGGAGCCAGCTCGCAGTTATACTCGTATTGCCTCACAAAAGCATTGGACAAGTCCAGCCAGGTCTTTACTTCTTCGGGTTTCAGGTTGGAATACCAGTCGAGTGCATCCCCCTCCAAACTTTCTGGGAACAACCTTAGAGGCAAATTCTCATCGTCTACGGGCTTTCCCAACTTGTTGGCAAACAGTCGGAGGTGTGTTTTGGGATTACCCGTCCCATCGTACTTGTTAAATTTAGGGGTTTTGAACCCCTCAGGCAACTGCACATTTGGAAACAGACAACGCTCATCATAATCCAGCACTCCTTGCTTATTTAACCCTTGACTTTTTCTCATAAATTCATCAAAACGATCCAGACGCTTGAGCAACTTCATATCAACAGGAGCAGAAGACTCTCCTATTTCTGGTTTGGCTTGGACAGTAGGGTCTGTTAGTAATGGCTCTGCAGCGGTGGGTAAGTTGGATTTGCCTTTTGGTAGAATGAAAGGCTTTTGGGTTGTTTGCGCCTAGGTCCTCATGCTACCTTTTCGTTTCCAAGGGAATCATGTTTTTGCATTCTTGCATTAGTATTTATTTGGCAAGGCGTACGACGTGTAGTCGAGCCTCACATGTGCATTCTGTTTACTCGATTCTGGAAGTAAAACCTTCAATTGGTTTATTTTGATTATTTTAGGGTTTCTTGGCGATTAAGGCCAATCTGAAGTGAAAACTTTTGAAGTTGAGCCGGTGAGTGTTCCACTACCCTACCCATTATGTGAAATATCTGAATATCTGAATACTTGATTTATGACTAGTGAAGCCAAATACTGTTTTTATAAAATGGAGGCGAGGGTGTACTTTATCACACTCGTTCTTCTATCTGTTCATATGCCAATTTTGAGTGCCTATCTGAATCTGCCGTCTGAATCTGCTATCTGAATCTGCTATTCTGTATCTGTATCTGAATCTGTTATCTGTGTCTGCATCTGTTCGGATTTCTATGACTTATGAGCTCAATCCTGTGGCTAAGTTATTCGAGTCGGGCCGGCAAGGGCCTGGACGATTAGATAACGAACCACGGTAGTCTGTTCGGGGATTTTTGGGTATTGAGACCCTTGATTCCGGTATACTCGAGTATTACCATTTCTGTTCGGTTACGGTGAGCGGGCCCGGTAAAGGGGTGTTTGGTGGACGGAATTCGGTGTAAAGAGGGGTCTACGGACGTTTTGGTTCTATATACGTTGACGGAGAGTCAACCAATTTGGATCAAGTACTGCGCTGGAAATTTGGCTCCTGAGAGCCACCCGTATCCTTTTGATTTGAATCATTGGTTCCTTTGCTTTACATCTGGCATGTGTATCTGATTTGAAAATGTGAAATGCCATGATTTTTCTGCTATCTGTTTGGTACCTCATTGAGCGCAAGCTCACCCCGTTCTGTCCCTTTTGTTTTCCTTACAGGAAAATAAATACTTTTGGACTGGACTTGATAATCGGTTGCCGACTTGAGCTAGTTGAACATATCTTTTGTATAGCTCATGTATTAAAACCCTAAGTGTACTTTTGGGGCGTTTCTCTTTTGATTTGGCAAACCGTGTATATGTATTATCTTTTGAAAGCTTTTGTATGTCATTTTGATTTGTAAACGCTAAAGTTCAGATGTAAATGTTTGTTAGCTATTTCGGTTGGGTTCTGACGGGTCGGTTACTATTCATGGCCGGCTCCGGATTTCTTTTCATTTTATCTTGGGTTGTTTTACTATTTTGATTTGTTTACGCGAGTTTGTAAGTTCCGGATTGAAGCGGATAGCTCTAATCTGATCCGTAGTCCTGGCGAGAGCTGGGCAGGCAGTCCGCTAACTCCTTTGGTTCGCCTTAGGGGAAAGTGGGGCTGTCACAAGTGGTATCAGAGCCACTTCGCGTGGTCTCTGCGCGGAGTGAGACTGGGCCAAGTGGTGTTGTGGTCCTAATTTCATGAATATGTCTAAGTGCTCGTTTGAGCGTAAGTTATGAACCGGACATGTGATAAGTGTACGAATCATTATCATGGGACTCGAGGAAGTTAGGTATGTATGTCGGGTAGGAATCCTTAATAGAGATGGTTTACTCTTGGGACCGGCCGGCTCGAGTTGTGAATTATCTTAGATGGGATTCTTGCGCCCGGATACGAAAGATATGAGGGCCTAGGTTAGAAAGGATTTGGTGAACTAGAAAGGCGATTTTATGGAACTTCGTGTGGTTTGTTTGGGTGTGGTTAAGCGTGATCGACCTTGATTAAGATATAAATATTTGGACGAATCCCTAGAAAGGGGAAAAGCTTTTCGTGAGTTCTTTTGTACTTGTGACCGATCTGTTAGCTAAGTATAGTGCTCAATTTAATCCCGGAGTAATCAATGATAAGGAATTTCGAGGACGAAATTCTTTTAAGGGGGAGAGAGTGTGAGAACCCGTAGAAACCCTAATCTTTTCCTAGGGTTTATTTCCTTTAATGGCATGTTTTCTGCATTTTCTGGCTTAGAAATATTTTCTGGTAGATTTTATGCGTAATTATAGTTTTAAAATGATTTTTTCTAGTATCGAATAGATTTTGAGAAATTAAGAACGTATATCGGACGTGGGACCCACTAGTGCGAAAAGTTCGAAAAAATTCGGCTAATAAGGTTAAGTTTCGAATACTGTGTTAAATTTATCGGGTGTTAAGAGATAAATAGAGGAGGTGATTTGATTGATGTGAGAGGAAAAAGAAAGGATAGAAATGCATTTACTAAGGTGCCAAGTGTCACCATGGGATTGGAAGTAGCTTAAGACTACTATTCATGGTTTTGACCTTTTGACTTATGGAGTAAATATCTTCAAAATTCACAAAAAAATTACCATTTTTCACTCTATGTTGGCCGACTCTTGAGAGCTCAAGAAGGAAGAAACTTGCTTCAAATTTCAAGCTCCCAACTAGCTCAATCTTCCAAACTACTTGCCTAAATTAGTTTTTACTCCATAAAATCCTTCCACTTGGTGTTAGTGAGTGTTTTGGTGAAGCTTTTTGGAGAACTTAAGGTGTCCAACATCTTCCTCTCTCTTGTTTACTTGGTAAGTGATGCTTGAACATTCTCTTATAGCTAATGATGTTGAATTTATGCCTAATGGTGGCTATTGTGTTAGAAATTATGGATTATTTCTTGGTTTGAAGTGATTTGGTTGAGTTTTTTAATTTTTGAGGAATTTTCTGGTTTCATATGATCTTGATGGTGTGGTTGTTTTTGATGGTTGGTAATAAGGGGCTTTGGCTCTAGTAGGTGCATATGATAGGAAATTGCAATCAATTTTGGATTTGGAAGAATTTCTGGAAAATTAGGGTTCTTGGTTGAACATTCTGTCCGAAATTTTAGGTCATAGATAGAGGCCGAATTGGACTTTGCTCAAAACATGAAAGTTGTAGGTATTGATGAGTTTGAAGTGCCTGCAAAATTTCAGGTCATTTGGATTAGTGTAGAGTGAGATATGACGTTTTTACTGTAGCTGTTCTGCTTTGGTCAGAATACGAAAACTGCGTTGGTATTGGGCTGTTTTGACTGGAATTGGTTTGGATTTTGAAGTTGGTGTCTTCTTATGAATTGAAGCTGGATGTCTTAGCTAACATATGCCTTTGGAATTTCGGCATTTGGACTTGTATGGACTGAGATATACCGATTACAGTTTTCTGCGTTTTGCAAACCTGTTTTGGTAATTCTGGGTTAGTATTTGGCACATTTGACCTAGTTGTACTAGGAACTGGACTGAGTGACCTTCTACAATGTTGTAGCTCTGTTTCTTGGCTTCGAAACGGTGGGTCTTACACCCCCAACCGATAATTGTAGTGAGAGTTGTGCCATTACCGCATACGGAGGCCAAACCTGTTTTTGTTGATTGATCAAATGAGTTATATTTTCTGATTTTCTGGTTTGCTATTATGCTTATATAGGTATATGAAATCCTATTGGGGTTGTGATTGGCATGGTTTTATGATTCGTTATCGAGTCTTATTGTACTTGTTTGCATGTTTTAAGGCTTACTCTTATTCCGGTCATTTTCTAGCTAACTTTTGTACTTGTACTGCTTTGAGCCTAGTGAACGGCTTTTGGGAAATGAGGTGACTCTTGTGTGAAATGTTGGGACTGATTTGAGGATATAGTGAAGCCTTAATGGCTGGGAAAAGTAAGAAATTTAGGGGAAGTGCTGGCCGATTTTCTAGGCCGTTTGGTTCCTTTAAGTTGGATTTGCCTTTTGGTAGAATGAAAGGCTTTTGGGTTGTTTGCGCCTAGGTCCTCATGCTACCTTTTCGTTTCCAAGGGAATCATGTTTTTGCATTCTTGCATTAGTATTTATTTGGCAAGGCGTACGACGTGTAGTCGAGCCTCACATGTGCATTCTGTTTACTCGATTCTGGAAGTAAAACCTTCAATTGGTTTATTTTGATTATTTTAGGGTTTCTTGGCGATTAAGGCCAATCTGAAGTGAAAACTTTTGAAGTTGAGCCGGTGAGTGTTCCACTACCCTCCATGTGCTGAATATCTGAATACTTGATTTATGACTAGTGCAAATACTGTTTTTATTGGAGCGAGGGTGTACTTTATCACACTCGTTCTTCTATCTGTTCATATGCCAATTTTGAGTGCCTATCTGAATCTGCCGTCTGAATCTGCTATCTGAATCTGCTATTCTGTATCTGTATCTGAATCTGTTATCTGTGTCTGCATCTGTTCGGATTTCTATGACTTATGAGCTCAATCCTGTGGCTAAGTTATTCGAGTCGGGCCGGCAAGGGCCTGGACGATTAGATAACGAACCACGGTAGTCTGTTCGGGGATTTTTGGGTAT